GAAAAGTGAACTCTCATGAAATCTCATCCCGCCCAACGCATTCCTTACCAACAGTGTCACAGAATGCAGTGTATGCTTGGAAATGTTCAAGTGCATAAACAGTATTGAGTATTGCAGCATTTGAAAACACAATGACACACATATGAATCATACAATTCACAAATAAGCACCAACACTATCAAGAACAGTTTTGTGATGAATACAAATCAGTTACAACTCACATTTTAATTAAAATTTCTTGAAATGTAGGTATATCATGTGATCTTTATTGCACATCTCACACTTGCATACCCAGATCTAATAAATACTTGGTTGTATCTGTCATGATCATAATATGACAGTCATCTCTATTTTAAGTTTTGAGTTAATTTTCAACTTCTGCCTTAAAAGTTTAGCAATGTGCACTCAACAGTGTTCTCGACATGTAGGGTTACCGCCTCCCAACAATTTGGAAACTACCTGCATCAGAATGAACCTTTTTTTTCATGAAGTCGTCAAATATTTATGTTCTCACTGTAGCTTAAAGGTAGTCGTGTGCGAGATATACGAGTCTCATATAAACAAAGATGGCGACTTTGACTGTTGTGCAGATCAACAAGTACGAACTGACACGTTTTCAAGCTTTAATTAGGAAATTTTCATGTGATTGGAAGATATCAAAGGAGTCAGCGGCGGTAATCAGTTCAAGTCGCGCTCAGGTCAAACCTCATACTTGTGATTTCCATTTGAAAAGCGCTTTGGATTGTGGGTAAATCAATGTTTATCAACACAAATGTCGAACATGCGCAGCGCGACGACTACCACGCTTTAAGCACGGTGAACAGGATGACTAGACCAATCAGCACACATGGAAATATTAAAGTTGTAAGTCATTACCTGTTTGTCTGCCCCTGTCCTTGCATCATACGCAGTCTCTTCTTTTCTTGTTGTAGATCTTCTAATATTTTACGGTTTTGCTTTTCTATGGAATGAGAAAAAAAACTTCAAAAACTTTGAAGACAAATAATTCAAATTTAGTTTGAAGACTAAATATTATGTCACGTAAGTATCATTTACATTAACCCTTTAAGCGCCATTGTCCACTATTGGTACTGCCTACAAAATGATTGTTTTACAGTCTGGTCTTTCCCACATGAAATATTTCCACTTAATTATGGGTGGGAAAAATAACTAGCACTCAATGAGTTAAAAGAATGCCGGTTGTCAAGGGCAGTGGTTTTTGCGATCACATGCATTCAAATATTGCAAAAATAAAACCACTCATATGATGCTGTGCTTCTTTCTGGCTAGTATAAAAAATATAGTTTTTATGCATAGATTTTTTACAAAATATAAATTTGTTATTTTAGATATTTATGTTGCCTTTAGGCTGGTTAATACCTATTATTATGTGGATTCTTCAGCTCTCTGAATAACAGCCTAGAAATGTTGCCTTGATTTTGCTAATTAACCATGTAAATTTCTTGAAAAATGGGGGCATTCATACTTTTGTCATTGTGGTAATTATAAGTGGATACAATCAGTGCTTAAGAATATCTACAACTGTCATCCATTGTCTGAAAAATTAGCATATCCAAATTTGCTGTATTAACTAGGCAGGCAATCACCATCTGAGTCATCTACTGACTGGGAAGCCAAAATCTGACAACATTTCAAGACTGTTATGAAGGACCTATGAAATAACAGAAGTTAACCATTCTGCAATGCCTCTAAATGTTTATAAATCATTTAAAAAATATAGGAATCTCATTTTTTATATTTATACACGGATGTGTATAGACAAGTGTGGTATACAACATTTGTATAAACATGATATCATTCTTCGACATTTGAGGGACAACTAAATATATCTAGCATGAAATTTTCTAATATATACGACTGTCACAATATCTACGCTGAAACATAACTGAGTAACAAGTAGCTTTACATTTTCACACTATAATGGAAACCTCTATTCGCAAGTAAACTTATTTCTATACTGAAAGCCCCCAAATTTAAATTCTGATCTGATGGTGGTGATTTATAATAATGGAACACCTATATTGTCATATTGGATTCAGAGAAGGGTCGAGATGTGATGCGTTTGGGTTTGCCTCAAACATTATCTTGCCATACACCAATCTCTTTATTTAATAATATGGTGCTCTTTATTATTGTTTACCTTTTCACCGTCAGACTTTTTCTCCAATATTTTTCTGCACTTTTTTTTTTCTTATATTTCTGGAGATGAACCCTAATTTTGAAGCTAACATCTGAATTTGAGTCAATTTCTAGTTTTTATTCAAAAAAATTGGTTATTTTTGCTCCAATTTTCTAAAGAAAAGTGCTGACTATAAACAGGACTATTTTTCAAACTTATGATGAAAAGAGGGAATTGGTTGTGAAAAGGTTAAATAATAATGTGATTCACGTGATGTAGAATGAAGTCAAATTGTCTGGCACAAGTAAGCAGTTTTTTTTTTTTTCTTTAACAATCTTTAACGAATTATTTCATCACAGAAGCCATGACGAAGGAGGTTCAATGAATGAATGTTTCTAGTTGTCTGCAAACTCTAACACTCCTAAAAACAGTTTGTTATGTGTAGCTTAGGAGGCGCTGGTGTAGAACAGGGTTGCAGAGTTTCATATATATCAGCATTTTGTGACTATTAGATAATTACTATTATTTTAACAGTATTTCAAATGACAAACCTAACTTACCACAACCCTAACCTCTCCTAAGAACTGAAATATTGCACTCGTCTGATGAAAGTATAATGTTGTTGCTACACATAACCTATTCCACATCGATGTTTCTTACTAATTACAGGGTTATTAGAATCATCTTGTGTTGTTCTGTACATGTATGGCATACTGATATGTCATCCAGAAAGAGGGAAAACATGCAATGTCCTGCAGATCCACAGGTAACATCAAATGTTATAAAACATCTAGGGTGCGGAGATTCACATAAACACAAGCGTATTACTATTATCACATCTATACAAATTAGTATCCATTTAACTATTGCATTAATGTGTTAGCTAACTATACTATACACTCAGTTAGTGATTAGTACGGTGAGTACATCGATCAAAATAAATCAATCTTGACTATTACGGGAAAATAAAAAAAAAATGTACAGAACACAATACCGAAAATACTAGACTTAAAACGTTTGCTTTCAAGCCAGAATGGATTACCTTGGCCAACATTAATTGCCGGGCTAGTGCCCGCAGCTGTAGTCATCCTGTAATTTTAATGTTTTGTCTCAAACACTCACAGTTCTTAAAATAATGTCCGAAAGTGAAATTCAAACAAAAAAGCCCAGAAACAAACTCTGTCCTATTTCATCACCCCATTACTGTTCGAGTTAAGAACGAACAGAACAGTAAAATAACAGAATTACTCAGAACAAAGATGTGATGACGACGTAGTTGTATTCTCCACGAGACATGGAATCTCCTTCACATCATCTTTGAAGTCTTGAGAATTAGATCAAATAAACGTCGATTTTTTGCCCTTTTTTTCTTCGTATGGACGCCCTCAGCGGCTGAACGAATAGATTGTTCTATTTTTTCAAAGAGGATATTTTATTATTATATTGTTGAAATCGTTTTTTCCGCCTGTAAATGGTTGTTATCATACATCAATTATACTATATAGTTGTAATAAAATGACTAGTAGATATGAGAGTACTACATGATGCAAGTTGCCGTAATGTTACCCACAGACTTACCCAAAGACTACCCCGAAAGCGTAATGGAATTGTCTTGACTAGTGTTTGATATGCGCACAGAAGATGCGCATTGATTATATCGCCAACATGGCGGAAGTAGAAGAAGTGAGGACGCAGGTTGGAAAACGGAAGGGGGAGGCTCCTACGATTCTGCCTACCGACCCTATACAAGACCCGTTATCAAGTGCGCTTATGTCCAATGATGAGGAATTTGAGGTGAGAGTAGCAGCTCTACTAAATTTGTAGTTTTAAAAAAAATCATTGTTTTTTAATAATAATTCAAAAAAAATTGTGAAAACAATAACTATACATGTATTTTGATTTGCAAATGTTGACATGATTTTATTTATGTGATATTGTATGAAGGCCAGTCGTGATTTTGTTTTGTTTTAACTCAATAACACACATGTAATAAATTGTCAGCAGAGCTACATTCAATAACGAATCTGTGAACCATGAATGAAAGTACCCACATCACAGTTAATGTCATAATAGAATAAGAAATTGCCATCATGAAGAAAATTTGTTTGTAACCAATAAACCTTAAAACACTACAAAATAATAGTATATTAGATGAGTTATTAACTTAAAGCGTGGTAGTTGTTGCGCTGCGCATGTGCGACATTTGTGTTGATAAATATTGATTTTCCCACAATCCAATGCACTCATCAAATGTAAATCACAAGTATGAGGTTTGACCTTGGCGCGACATGCACTGATTGCTGTCGGTGACTCCTTCGATTTCTTCCAATAACATAAAAATTACTTAATTAAAGCTTGGAAACGCCTGAGTTCGTACTCGTTGATCTGCGTAACGACTACCACGCTTTAAAATGAAATTCTTGTATTACCATGTGTAGAATTATCTCTGAATTCCGTATGGCACTGGAATGATGTATTATATTTGCATAACAATAGTAATAATTATTCAGAGTTCTGGACTGCAACTAATTTACATAAAGTTGCATTGTGTTAAAGCGCGGTGATCATCGCACCGTGCATGTACACCATTTGTGTTGATCTTTTAATAAAATCACAAGTATGAGTTTTGACCTTGGTGCGACTTGCACTACCGGGGTAATTACCGCCAGTAACTCCTTTGATACCTTTCAGTCACCTAAAAAATACCCAATTAAAGCTTGGTAACATTTCAGTTTGTACTTGTTGGCCTGCGCAACAGTCAAAACCGCCATCTTTGTTTATTATGAGAGCCATATCTTGCTGTGCGTGGCGCGACAACCATTGCCCTTCAATCAACTCTGTTATCCAAAATCACAGAGGTGGGGAAGGGGGATCTTCTCTTTATTGCTCTCAGGAGATCCCTGATAATAATTATTTTATTCAACATTTAGAAAATACCCCAGATAAAAACAATCAGATGAAAAAATACTGTTTGATTGAGTTTTTGGCAGTCAACAAATGTAAAGTTCACGTTATAGAATTTTGGCATGTGCCAAATTTTTTAATCCTATGTGTTTGCTGAAAGATTACAGCAGTTGCGTTCTCGTTAGTGTGGACCCACTTGGGTCCCTATCGGCTTGTGCCAAAATCACACCCTCATTCGTCAATCTGTTATTGAACCCAAACATGGAAAACAATATGCATATGATGATAATAATAATTGCTATATTGAAATTATATTCATTTGCTGCCATGGGATTTATTACGAATTGTCATGCATATGAACGGCAAATTAATTCACATCGATGTAGCATTGCAAGAAAAAAATCAGTTGAAGCAGCCCATAAATATGCATTGCTGACAACGGTTTGCATTCTTTTTATTCATTAATACAGCATCCATATTTGCACTTCAGTATACATGTATGTTCTCTTAAATTCACCATTGAGGGCTTCCATTCAGACAGCAAATCTTGGCATGTCTCTGGACTGAGATAAATTTTGTTTGGCATGTGTCGACTTGGTCCTGATCATTCACACAGGCATTTCAGAAAAATGTAACGTTTTAGAATCACACATCATTTCCACCTAGTTTGTAACATTCTTTCCTATTTTAGCAAGAAGAATTGATACGATCGCCTGGTGCGGAAAGCAATATGTCCAATGCCTCACAGACTGCCTTAGCTGGATCAATTAAACTTGAAGAACATGAAGAGGAAGAAGAAGATGAGGATCCTGATATCGAAACAAGAGATCTTTTTGTTACAGTTGATGATCCAGAAAAACATACAGGATCAATGGGATCATCCTATGTAACTTATCGTATTATAGTTAAGGTACTGAACTCTGCTGGAGGTAACTGCCTTATTAGAAGGTGGAATTCACTGAATATATTTCATTATTTTTATGTTACACAGCTGTATGTGTCCCTTGAAATTAATTAATCACTGTGTTTTAATTTTTGCTGATAAGTAAAATCCACTAAATTAATCCATGTAAATATGTAAAATAATAATAAGACTTATTGTTTCTTTGATCATGCTCAAAACATCAAAATAGTGAAATTAAACGTCAGTGAAAAATATATGGTTTTACAGTACACAACAAACAACTACCGGTAATTTCAGAAAATCTACCAATTGTAAATTTTATTTGAGGCAAAAAATACATTTTACCAATTTATATTTTATGATACAAGTGGCTATATAAGCTTGTTAGGTCCTTCATTGTACTCTGAAAGTCACCCTTATTCCCACATCTTGGGGGGGGGGGAGACTAACAGTTTCAGTCCTGCCCTAAATCTAAGCATTTTGTCTTGAGAGTTTTTCGTGTTGGAAACTAAAAATTATTTGCATTCATATTTGGCCCAGTACATGTCTGAAATATCCAGACAGATTCCAAATCATTTTAAGTCCTTATTCATACAAACTGTAGATCGATGGGGGATGTCTGTTTTTCTTCAAATGTTTAGATAAACAGTTGAACTTACATTGTTTGTACAACAGCAATCGTGTGCTTGTAATTTCTCCAGACAACAAGAAGTTCATTTGATGATTCTGAATACCTGGTTCGTAGAAGATATCAAGATTTCTTATGGCTTAGAAATAGACTAGAAGACACTCAACCAACTCATCTTATACCAGTAAGTGGTCTGTCTTTCCATTTAACAATCACCTTATTAGTCTCCATCAGACAAAGTTGAAAGTGGGCTATTTTTTGGGTTCCATCCGTCTGTGTGTCTGTCCATCCATCCATTGTCATGTCTCAGAACATGTCATGGCCAATTTTGTTCATTGGTGGTACTAAGACAAGTTATGGTGCAAGACATATGCATATTCATCAGTTTTTTTATTTTGTTTACCTTTGACCAACTGGTGGCCATTTTTGTCCCAAAAATCAACATTTGAACATGTCACCAATTCTCATGCGTCTTGCACCAATTTTATTGTAACTTATTATTGACATATCTCATGGTGGGTTACTAATGCACGTCACTTTGTTTCAGGATTTGATTTTAAATGGCCAACTGGTGGCCATTTTGTTTACAAGTTTTCTGCTCCTTTTTCAGACAGATTTTACAGATTTGACTTAAATTTAGTACAAAGGCAAGAAACAATAGGTTGAATGTTATCTTTGCCATTTGAAGTAAAACATTGAATACTCTCCACTCATTTAATTATATCTACATCTTTCATTTATTTCATTTTCATTGTTTAATCTTTATCTTTCACAGTCACTAAAAACTGTCATTGACAATGAACTTTTTTACATACAGGAATATTGATTTTTTCCCTGACGTTGTTATTTATTGTGCAGTATGTTGTACAGTGTGTATTTATTGTGTGTACAAGTTTGTCTGTCTGTGAAAATCCAAAACAGTAAAGTTTCTTTTATGTTGCAATTAAATGTTTTGCATCTTTTTATCCCTTCAGACTTTTGTTTCTAAAACATTTTCCCACTGTTACCGAAGTGAATGTCCTAATTAAAGCCGCACCAAGACACGCATCTGAAGTCACCCATTAAAAAATTTAATTTTAATTAAAACCGCAGCCTAAATTACGATTTTTACGGTACAGTGATTTTTGGAAAGCATGATATAAATTACTTTTCTTATAACTGACTGTAAAATACTTTATTTTCGCTTGGAATTCATTTTCGCTATGTTCACTGAAGGGATGGATGTTTTACATTCAACTTATCAAACATAGTGTGAAAATGAATTACATACAAAGCACCTGAAAAGTCTTTTAAGTGAAAATTAATTCCAGTTAAAATATTTTACTTTTGATTTTGCTCGTATTGTCTTTGCCTTTTATGTGTCCTGTTCCTTGTTCAGCATCAAGTACACCACACGCTTGAAATTTAAGTCTAGACTTTATTACTGACCAGAAATTTTTTCTTTTCATTTCATTCGCAGCCGTTACCAGAAAAACACAGTCTAAGAAGATTTGATCATTTTAGTCCAGAATTCCTAAAAACCAGACAGAAAGCATTAAATAAATTCCTGACAAGGATCGCAGACCACCCCGTTCTTTCATTCAACAGTAATTTCCAAATATTCCTGACTGCAAAGGCATGGGTAATTCATCAGTTATTGCTTGCTAGATGGTTGTCATAGTAACCATAGTGGTGGTAGTGGTTGTCGAATAGTAATATGTAGAGTATTAATTAAATTCATGATTAAACCATTCCCTTATCATGCTTAACCTCATATACTCATACAAATGCCAATCCCAAACTAAAATGATTTGCAACAAGATAAATAAATGTGAAGCGCCCTCTAGTTCATGGTGCTGCTAACTTGTCCAAATGTAGACTTACTGTAACATTTCACAGGAGACAAATTTTTGCAATCCTGGAAAAATCACAAAATTTGATAGTAACCATGAGGATGTGAACTCAGTCAAGTTAGTATATCCTGTGCCTACTGATTCAGCCTTATAAAGCTCTTGTGTCTGTGATAAGAGATTCAATTCTTGCATGTGTTAGTGCCCTTTGCCACTAGACTTGGTCATACTGTAAATGTAGGTGCATATTTGTTAAATTAGCATGTGGACTTTTTAAAAGGGAAAAAGGACCAAATACAAGTCCACCAGTCCTCCAAATCAAGTTTAATTTAAGTCCACTAGTCTTTCAAATCTCTAATGTCATGCATAAAAGTAAACTATAATTCCACTATTATTCCCATGCATTAAATTGTAGTTTAGTTTAATAGCGTAAATACAGAGTAATGTAATGGGTTAGAGTATATATGGCTGATCGCTTGAGAAATATCTAAATAAGAACTGTTGAAACTTGCATTTTGTCTCTGAATGTTTATACTCGATAGTAGTTTAGAATTTGCCCAGCTAATTGATGTACAAATTAATTTTGTATAAATATAAAACCACATTTCCTTTACTTGATGCTCAACTACACTGAAGCACGCATTTGTCAAATAAATAATTTATTTTGACTGCATCAGTATTGTCAATGGTATGAATATTTGTAGTGAATTTGTCTGAATTCTGATTTTATACAGAAACTACTCCAAAAAGAAAACAAGAAATATCATGCAGCATAAATTCTATTCATAGGATTTCCAATTAAAATTCACCCCTTTCATTGAAATTGACAACTATGATTTGAAGGTCTTGGTTTGATGAAGAGCAATTGTTTACAACATAAATTTTTTTGAAAAAAATGTCAAGAATTTTGTTTGCTGAATTGAAATGCAGTACAGTCTGGGCATAACTTAACTTCCAAGTGTCAGCTGGCTTTGCCTAAAAACGTTTCATATTTGCCGTAAAGTGAGTATCATCTTTGTGGTGTTTACAAATGTTACTAATATGAGACATGTTTTGAGTAGATTACTCTGCACAATTCAGATATGTGGCAGTTCTGAAAGTATGCTAAGGTAGCTTTAAGCCAACCTTACTGTAATTTCTGAAATGAAGCTATGAGTAGGTTCACAAAGCTTCTATCCCATGTACCATTATACTTTCCATCCTCACTCATACATGTAAAGAATTGCCATCAATTTTGGTTTTATTCTAATTTAGGAGTTAACGGCTCGTAAAAAGCAAGGTCCTGGTATCTTGAGTCGGATGGGAGATTCTGTGAGGAATGTTGCAGCTACGTACATGCTGAAAAGCCGAAGTCCTGAGTACACAATGATGGGGGAGTATATACAGACGTTTGGTGAAAAAATGGGAACAATAAATAGGGTTGCGGAGAGGCTTGCCAAAGAAAAACAAGGTTGGGGCATATTCAATCTATATTGTCTCTGTGCTTTAACTTGGTTGACTATCTTTAAGTGCACATTAATTTACACTAGCTTTCAATCGGAATACGTTTTAACATGGAAATCATTAAATTAGCCAATTGCAGTCGTATATTATCGGGGCAGACATCTTGGCATTTTCACTGTATAGCAACAATCACAGTGTAAAGAAAGGCTAAAGACTCTCAGAAAACTATATTTTGGGATAGTTCTTGAGACTCTCCTGAACAGTGTAGCAAATAATATGTGCTGTTTCCTTTGACCGTCATTTCACTGCAGCTTGTGCAGAGTCCATAGAAATACATGGTACAGTGCAATATACACAGTTCTGTGATGTAGCTTCGCTCTCAAGAATACCGGTAGTATTTTTCAGGTGCATATGGTAGAATTCCATAATTAAATGGTCAATATATATGTATATATCAACATAGAAGTTAGTTTTACAGCAAAATGTATCTACACAGGAAAAACATAAATTTGCTTAGTGAGGGAATCTCATGGAAAAGGTGTAATATCATTGAATCATGTCTAATAATTTTCTTCTTCCTTAATCCTACAGATTACCATGCTGAATTAGGAGAATACAGTCCTGTGTTTAGTTTGTGGTCCAATTCAGAGACAGAATTAGCTGACACAATGACCAGCTTAGCTACGTGTATTGAAAAATGCCAAGATGCAACACAAGAACTGGTATGTTGTTGCATACCATAAACTAAGCATTCTCTTGTAAGCCAGGCTAAACTCGAATCAGATTAGAGGTCAATACACTTCTAGTGTGATTCATACGTACTAGTTGTCACTGTTGTGGTTATTTCCTAGGTTGGCTGTGAAATATACCATATTTACACTATCCGTTGTGCATAAAATGACAAGTGTGTCTATGGTCGAATTAATTATGTAATAAATGCAATATTATTGATGCACTGCTAATAGAGAAACTACAGTATTTAAAATTTACAAAAAAGTTACAAAATTTAGTTTTACTGAATCATTTTGATACATATAATGATTTTCATGCATTATGACTGCTTAGCAAACATTATGTTCTGTGTAATTATCAGGATAACAGAACTCGTTTTTATATTTTTTCCTTCTTCAGATTGATGAGCAAGAACAGCTTTTCCTTCCCACCATCAAAGAATATTTACTATATGCTGATTCAGTCAAGGTAGTGACTTTTTCACAGCTGTATTGGTCTTGAAATTGATGTCTGTTTGTCACAGTCATTTTAACACGTTGTGTTTGATCCCATGGGTCCCATGCTACATATACAACATGTGTAAACATTGTTTACATGCTGCATGAGGACCGTGGTACTTTAGCAGCTGTTTAGTATATAGCGGATAATTCAATTCAATGCAATAC